ATTCCTGCTATGTTCAGAGCCACCCCTATCGCCCTATTTCTGAGCATCGTTAGCTGATGACTGTGCTGCTGCCAGGAAGGGGAAACACACCTGGGCACATCTGCAAAGAGACACAGGGTGAGGATAACCAGGAAGCACTTCTGCACTGCCACTGCCTGGCAAGATCTCCATCCCCATGCTCAGCTCTTTGCTCTCTGACAGCCTACATATCCAGATTTTTCTCTGTAGAATGGCAAGTGAGCCAGGTTGTGACCCCCCCTTGCATCGCGTCTGTGGTGTGTGAGTGGAGCATCTAGCTCAGTTTTGGTTCCACCCTCCATAACACACACACACACACATCACTATCTGCCAGTTCAACGAACATCCCCTCAACCATCCACATCAGAGAAAATACCAAGCGATGATGGAAACCAGTGGTACCTCCCTCTCCCTGTTAAATCATTTCTGGTGGACCCAAAGCACCACAAACTGCCTCTGCAGGATGCCTGGATTCATGCATCCAGCCTACCATGGTCCTAGGTGGGCCACAGCAGTACCAGCCACTGTCACTCCATCTACCATGAGGACGCAGGGCACATGAGCTTAGTTCAGTGGCAAAACAAACCCCACAGGTTTGATACAAACACAGTGGGCAGCCACAATCGCTCCAATGCCTCCCAGGGCCACTAGGCTCAGTAGCGATACAGGACAAGACACATACAAATAAGCAAATTCACCCTGCACACCACATTTGCCAGATGCTTTTGGACAGCACCATGCACAACTGTCCGAACCACCTTGCTAATAGCCAAGGTCCCCAGGACCTGTTCTTTTCCCGTGTCCAGACAGCTGTTACCCCATCTTCAGAAAGGTTGCTTTCATGTGACCTGCTCTTGACTAATCCATGCTGCCTGTTTCTCAACCACTTACCCCTAGGTGCTCACAAACAAGCTATTCCAGTATTTTTCCAGGTACTGAAATTAAACCAACTGGTCTGCTAACTCCCCAGCTTCTCTTTTCCTCCCCGTTTCTGAGTGGTAATGGGACATACAGAATCAGGGCTTACGGTTATCATTTAATCCTCACAAATGCACCCATCCCCATAAGCCTGGTGCTCCAAGCCCATGCCAGCCCTGGGATGAAAGACCACTGTCATTGAGCTCTCCCTTGCCACCAAATCAGGCAACAGTTCTGGATCTTGCTCCTGGGGTTTCCACTTGCATTGCATTGAGTAACTCACCGCTGACAGGAGGGCTGCTTGCCCAGCCCCCTTTCACAATCAACCCTCCTGCTCCCTACAAGATTGTATCAGCAGGA